AAGAGGTTAGATATACCCTTCTACCCTAAAATATATTTTTGGTGTAAATTTCATGAAAATTCAAGAGGTAGAAAAGAGGTTAGAAAAGAGGTTAGATATACCCTTCTACCCTAAATATATTTTTGGTGTAAATTTCATGAAAATTCAAGAGGGTAGAAAAGAGGTTAGAAAAGAGTTATATCTAACCTTCTACCCTAAACATTATTTTTGGTGTAAATTCATGAAAATTCAAGAGGGTAGAAAAGAGGTTAGAAAAGAGGTTAGATATACCCTTCTACCCTAAAATATATTTTTGGTGTAAATTTCATGAAAATTCAAGAGGTAGAAAGAGGTTAGAAAAGAGGTTAGATATACCCTTCTACCCTAAACATTATTTTTGGTGTAAATTTCATGAAAATTCAAGAGGGTAGAAAAGAGGTTAGAAAAGAGGTTAGATATACCTTCTACCCTAAAATATATTTTTGTGTTGTAAATTTCATGAAAATTCAAGAGGGTAAAAAGAGGTTAGAAAAGAGGTTATATCTAACCTTCTACCCTAAACATTATTTTTGGTGTAAATTTCATGAAAATTCAAGAGGGTAGAAAAGAGGTTAGAAAAGAGGTTATATCTAACCTTCTACCCTAAACATTATTTTGTCTGATTTTACGAGAAGTCTTGACAAAACATTTACGAAGAAGTCTTGACAAAACATTTACGAAGAAGTCTTGACAAAACATTTACGAAGAAGTCTTGACAAAACATTTACGAAGAAGTCTTGACAAAACATGAAAACATATATAATTTGTGAAAAGCTCCTGGAAGACCTCCGAATAAAAACTTCATTTATGTGGGCTAGAAGGCACGAAGTGCCTGGAAGGTCACCCCAAGAAAAAAAAAACTTCATTATACTCATTCATCCTCAGGGCTAGAAGGCACGAAGTGCCTGGAAGCCCCACTACCTTTTTTTTTTTTTTTTTTTTTTTTTCTTTTTTATAATAATACATATTATTATATAATTAACATATTCATAATGTTTCACCCTTTCAAAAATATAATCCTCCTCCTCTCAAATAAACGTACATACGGGTGGCCTCTTTTTTCAAAAAATCAAAATTTGAAATTTTGGGCTCAAATATTAGAGATTTTTTCAACCTTCAACGATATATGTTGTCTATATCAGACCTCCTTTCTTTTTGATACTTAACATTGTTCCTAAATCTTAGCCGTTAAGGCTGTTCTGAAAATATTTTTTTTTCGAAAAAATTCGAAAAAAATTCTTAAAATTCAAAAATCCCTTAATTCCAGAGGATTTTGGAAAAAAGTTTTTACATGAACATGTGTATATTATATGAAGTATATTGATAAGGTAAAAATCAAATTTTATTGCATATTCATCGAGAAAATAAACTAACGAATCCCTCAAAATTGAGAGGGTAATCCTCCTCCTCTCAAATAAACGTACATACGGGTGCACCCTTAATTCAAATTTTCAATAGTTTATATATTTTCTCAAACCGTCTCAGATTTTCTCACTTTTTAGGGATTTTCTCTCAAAATATACAAAAATAGTAATATCAATACATGTGTCTAATATACTTTAAACCCATCGTGACAAAATTCAAAAACGAAGAGTTCTTCTCTCCAAATTTTTTTCAAAATCAAAAAAATGAGATAAAAAAGTACGTTTGGAAAATTCATTTTTAGCATTTTAGGAATTTTCTCACTTTTCTTCCAAATTGACATCCTTAGTTTATTAGATTATTTCCTCAAATGATAAGTTTTAGGCGATATTCGAAAAGTGAATATTATTTTTACGAGATCACTAAATTTGATTCAATTGTCAATTCCTCCCTAACTCAGTTGGTTAGAGTGTCAGACTGTTAATCTGGAAGTCGTGTGTTCGAGGCACACGGGAGGAGATTTTTATTTTTTTATTTTTTATTTGATAAAAATATGAATGTAATACATTGTATTTCTTGAAATCACTCAAGAGATAAATATTAATATAGGGTGTCCAAAGGTGCGTTTAGCACAGCGCTCTATATGAGACTATTAAAGGAGATATATGCTGATTATAAATATATAATAAAAAATATGAATATATGTATATGATGAGTAAGTTGTATTTTGGCGCCATGCCGGGATATAAAATGAATTTTGAGACAAGAAGCGGTTTCGCGGGAAATTTTGGCGGGATTTTTTTCATTTTTTTAATGAATCATAAAGAAAACATCCTCGCTCTTGCAAAAAAATGCAAAGACTGTAAAAAAATCTACGAGACATTGGTAAAATGCTTCGTATGGATGCTCCTAGCTATTCCACTGTAACGTATCATGTTAGGATGTATCACTTCATGAACAAAAAGGCGCCATCATAAAAATTGACAAAAAATCGCCGGATCAAAGAAAATCAAAGCAATTCTTCAAGCGCTAGATGAAGACCCAAGAGCATCACTCAGAAGGATAGAGGAGATGACAAAGATACCACGTACAACAGTCAGTTATTATCTGCACAATTATTTGAACTACAAACTAACGTATACACGTTGGGTTCCGCACAACCTTAATTCAGTTCAAAAAAAATCTAGAGTCCAATCTCGAAAGAGCTCCTCTCTATATTGGGTGCGTATCAATCCAAGAAGTTTCGCTTTTAGTAACAGGGGACGAGTCTTGGTTTCAATATGCAACAGAAGCCAAAATCATGTGGATCCCGAAGGATGAAAATCCGCAAACATTCCCGAAGAAAAAAATTGACACACCAACGATGATGTTGTCGGTTTTTGGGGCGTGAATGGCATCATCGCAATTGATATTCTTCAAAAACCTAATACGATGAATGCTCAGTATCTAATTGACAATGTTCTTACTCAAATTATCAATTCTGATGAGTTTGAGAAATCCAAACAACAAAAACAAAAGTTTGCAATTCATTTTGATAATTCAAGAGTTCACAAAAGTCATAAGGTAATGAATTACTTGGTGGAAAACAATGTCAAAGTTGTTCCAAACCCAATTTATTCACCTGATATTGCACCCTCTGACTTTTATTTATTCGGCACGCTAAAAAAGAGAGCTGAAGGACGCGAGTCCAGATGATCTTGAAAATTTTGTAAGAGAGCAATTTGAGCAATTTTCTCATGATGATTTAAAGCGTGTCTTTCAAGCCTGGATCGATCGCTGCGAACGCGTGATTGAATCCAATGGTGATTATATTTAAATAAACTTTATATATATGTAACTTGTTTATTTCTATTCGCAGTATTCAGGTTTGTGCTAAACACACCTTTGGACACCCTATACAAACTTAAGTAATTGATAGAACAATGCATAGTTTTGTATAAAAAAGTTACAAACAGTGCTTACTTGCGAGGATTTTACAAAGAATGAGAGATGGAACTCTCTGAACAGGATTACCCATATGCAACTAAGTCACAGCCAACTAACACTGGAAGAATAATTGTATTCTACTTTGGATGTGCACCTTATGAAGAAATGTGAGTTGGTTAAAATTAAAAGTGGTTTTACTGAATCTATCCAGCTATTTTTCTTGATTTTATTTTATATGATAGAATATCCTATTAAACATAAAATCATGAAAATGTATAAGGTGTATCATTGATATTTGCACCATATTTAATAAGAAGCTCAGTAGTTTCTTTATTATTTCTAATTGCTGCAAAAGAAAGAGCGCTGCATCCATTATTATCTTTTTCATTGACATTTGCGCTATGTGAAATAAGAAGTTCAGCAACTTCTTTACTATTATAATTTGCTGCAAATTGAAGGGCATTGCTTCCATTATTATCTTTTTCATTGATGTTCGCACCATGCAAAATAAGAATGTCGGCAACTTCTTTACTATTAAATTTTGCTGCATAATGAAGAGCAGTGTTTCCATTGTTAACTTTTTAATTTATATTTACGCCATGTGAAATAAGCGAAGATCCTGAGATTGGGACAAAGTTGCAATTCGGCACTTTTTGTAAAAAAAATGGGGTCATACTCATAATGAATAGAGACTTATAGCCAAGTCTTGATATCATGCAGGGAGAATATACATTGATAAGCAATTATATTTTATAGTAGTAGTATTCAGAAATTCTTACAATTTACAATACAATTTTCAAAAATGGATAAAGACTTATAGCCAAGTCTTGATATCATGCAGGGAGAATATACATAGATAAGCAATTATATTTTATAGTAATAGTATTCAGAAATTCTTACAATTTACAATACAATTTTCAAAAATGGATAAAGACTAATAGCCAAGTCTTGATATCATGCAGGGAGACTCTCTACAAATACAAAAATTGATTATCATAAGGAAATACAAATTTATCAATTTTCATGTGAAAATTACATAAATTTGTTCTCCAATAAATAGCAATAATACTTTGAATGTTATATTAAGTAATATAGCTTCAGGTAAATAAGCTTACACTTCAAAAATATACTGTTTATTCATTAATTTTAAAAAAAGTCCAAATTATCTAATCTTGCTTACTCTTCCTTTAAACTTCTTTGTGCCAAATTTAATATTGTCTTCAAAGATGGAATAAGGACATTAGGTTCAATCCTTCGGCTTTCGACAATTTCCAAAATGTGTTGAATTAATTTCAAACATTCATCGTGTTTTGAAGCTCTTTGCTCAACAATCCGATTACCTGCCCTTGTAAGAATTCTTACTGCTCTATCTTCATTCAAAACATTAGCGACTTGAACCTTAATAATCGCATTTGGAATCACAACAGTGATGAGAGTTATGACGATATAAAAAACTATTTTATTATACTCATTCGAAATTAAAAATAATAAAATTTATATATATTAATTTCATTAAATCAAGGTTAAAAATCTCACCGGAAAAATAACCTCAGTGTGATAAATTTATCACCGGAAAAATTTACAATAAGGTTAATACCGAAAATATCGAAAAATCAACATTTAAGGTTAATTTAAGAGTATGCACTTTTGTCACCTACTCCGAAGATCCTTCTGTTTTAAGTTCAGCATGTACGATGAAATCTGTACTTGAAAACTCTCTAGAACTATGGAAACATGCTGCAAACCTTGCAGATCCTCATCCGATTGCAACTGTTCATGCAGCTCTTGCTGAAGATGATGGTTTGGTCAAAGCATTTAAGACAAAATGGCCGTATGTTGCAGCAAAGATATACACAACGCTAGGAAAAGAATATGCGCATAATTTTGCTGAATGTTTACCTCAATCAACAAGGTTTTTGGCTTATATCATTGAAGATTTGTTATCTAATGGAAAATGGAAGGAAGCTGCCGACACATTGTTGAAGTTTGATATAGGAATGACTGAAGTACGAGCATCTGCACTCGCAGTTTGCATTTTATTCAGTGATGTGGCAGGATTTGACGAATCAGCACAATTTTTCAGAGAAGAACTTGAAGATATTCTAACAATAGATGTTGGACATTTTAAAGAAGTGAAAGACACTCTTAGAAATATCTCAAATATGTGGAATACCGAAATTAAAGAGAATGAAATTCCATCAGGAAAGAATGTTCTCATAGCTGCAAGATGGGTTGTAAATAATGCAAATACAGCTGAAAAGGTCGTAGATGTCTCAAACTTCGCTAATCAAATTTGAGCATCTTCAATATATGATAAATTAATCAACAAAGCAAAGGAATTTAACATTGAGATCCAGTTGAATCTAGTGAATAATGATTTGAATATTATTGTCCTAGAAGATCTTATTATCGGATTTTCAAACTTATAAAAATAAAAATATTTACTTTTATTTATCTGATTTTGGATTAGTAAAACGAGATAATTTAAGTAATAAGATAATTCACGCCGATAATTATAATATATTCCAACGCATTTTCGGAAAAAATTGAAATGGTGTAGGAATTTTTATGAAAAATTCAAATATTCATCTACAATTGAAATACATTAATATTATTCATAAATGCAATTTGAATTTTCTCAAATTTTGAGAGAATCATTCAAAAAGTTTACATGATTTCATTTTTCATGAAAAACACTCACTATTCGGAGCTCATGAATACATACAAGGACTATGATGACCTATTTGTCAGACTATATAGGCTTCATACTTATAAAGAAGAGGAAGTTGATGAAATTTATCAAGAAATCAAGAAACAATTACTTGAAACAAAAATGTTTACACCCATTAAGATGGTTTCGATACTATATACAGCAGCAAAATTCAATAATCGCTATTTACGATCATATTTCTCTATCTTCAAGAAGATTTTTGATGAATATCATATAACAACAGATAGTGGAATCTCATCTATTTTCCTATACTTCTTGAATATGGAATATGGTATCCAAACTTCAGGACAAAACAATACTCGTTATAATTTACAAAAACTTTCATTAGATGTATTTGAAGAGAACACGATTTACAGAGCAATTATGGAGGATGATATAGAAAAGTTTATGTTGTTTACAGAAAGTGAAGATTTCGATCCACTTCAAACTTTAAGAAATGATTTATTCTCAGACTTTTTTGGCGATTCAGATATAGGATTTGTGGATTTATGTTCTTATTATGGAGCTGTTAAATGTTTTAAGTTCTTAATTACAGAATTCAAGTGTACACCCTCTTACATTGGTCTGAAGTATTCATTCTTGGGTGGAAATCCTGATATAGTTCATGAGTGCTTGAAACAACTACATTCAGTTGATAGAGAATGCATGGAATTCGCGATCGCATCACATAACATTGATTTTGTTTGTTTTCTCATGAATGAGTATGGATTAGAAGTTTTCCCACATAATTGTGGTGAATACAATAATTTGCAAGCATTTTTTGTTTATTTAGATAATACAAATGACATCAATACATGCTTTGCAAATTCACCACTCTTTAATATTCCTTCACTTTGTGAATATTTTATTTCACACGGTGCTGATATTAATGCAAAGAATTATCGAGACCAAAATGCTCTTCATATTGCCGCAAGAAGCAATAATGTTAAAATTACAGAATTTCTCATTTCTAACGGTATAGACATCAATAGTCTCAGCGACCTGAGAAAATTGCCTCTTCATATTGCAGCTGAATTCAATAGCTATGAAACAGAAAAAATTCTTCTCTCATATTACCCTGATATCAATGTAAGAGATGCATTTTTAGATACTGCTCTTGATTTAGCAGCCCAAAACAACTGCACTCCAACAGCAAAACTCCTTATTTCTCATGGTGCTGATGTTAATATTAAGGATGGGCACTCATAGGCTCCTGACAGCATAAAAATGTTATTATCTCACAATATAAAAGGAATCATAGGAATCTACAACTATATCTATATTGTTGGAAGACTTCTTAATGTATCATGCATATAAGTTATATCAATAACTCCATTATGTTATATGATTGTGATCATATTTTCGTTTCATGTTCAAAAACATTAAAATCATACTAACTATATGAGTATTATATTTAGGAAGCTGATATATAGATATGATAAAATGCTAGGTTTTGTGATTAAGAATATATACTTATCTTTTAGAAAATAATACTTTTATAAAAAATTATATCTTATATAATCTAAAAATTTTGGACAATTAAAAACATTAATTAAAAATAGAAGGTGAAAGTGTTTATTCAAAGAAGGTGCAAGATTATGATGTTTTGAGGGTGAAATAAATTTAATAATTATTTATGTGATTTAAGAGTAATACGATCATCGGTAGCTTGAAGACCTCTCTTTATAGCTCTTAATGCCGCAAACTTTTTTTGAACTTGCTTTGAATTTTTGAACGCTTTGATTAAATCTTTTGTTGGATCATACATTCTGAAATATCTGTTCATCATTTCTGGCATTGTTGGTAAATTTTAACCTGTATCTTATTGCTACAATCGTTTCAAACATACTTTCATTGAAATGCAATATTGTGACTGCCATCCTAATTGGCCAAGAAGCATGCCAATTAATATTTTTATTAGCAAGCATTGCTTTGATATGGTTTATCGATTCAACTACTTGAGTTGAATGAATCTTTTTTACCATATCAACGATTTTTACGGTATCTTCGAGGAATTTTTTAAGTGTTTTTATAGCAGTTTTATTTTTTGCATATTTCCATGGTTTAATCATCTTGCATTTTTCAGGATCTGGACAAAATTTATGATTTCCGGCATAACGTTTAGCGGAATTCAACCATAAAAACTTCTTTGTTTTAATTGACATATGTGTGTCATTGAGAAGTTGCCTAAGCCAACGCAATAAATTCTTTGAAATGCTAGATAAGATTCTGAATTCTGGCAGTTTGAGCTTTTTCTGTATATTGTTAAGAAAATGTCCGGGATCTCTGTATTCTCTGATACCTTTGAACGTATTTTTGATTGTAGAAACAATTTTGACATCGCCATCATGCACAAAAAATTTACACGTTTTTCATTATTCCAACGCTTCAGCATTCTTTTTAAGCCTTCAAATTCCATTTCATTTGATTTTCCGTTGAAATTACCTTTGAAATTTTTAAAAGATTTAGATATCACTTCCCAATCTACAATTTTTTTGAGTTTCTCTTCTACAAATTGTACATAGCAAAACATTGCATTTCTTCTCTGACTCCAAGAACCGTCAAACAAAAGTCCCGAACATTTTCTCATTCGAGATTGCCAATAATTAACAGATTCTCTGGCAACTTCTATGATAACACGACCAACCTTTTCTTGGACTCGATGAAATGTAGCTTCTGACGGAACTTTGATGTTATTCAGCATGAATTGAAATCCTGATTGGCAAAATGTAGCGCCGCTCAATAATACAGATAGCACAAATTCAACAGTGTTGACGACATATGGCTCTACCCTATTTTTCGCGCTTTGAACTAAGTTCTTTATACGCTTTGCAACTGCTTTTGTTCGCCGCGGCATGAAAAATGAAGAATAACTTGACGGTTTCTTGAACAAATGGTCGCACATTCAAATATTGTGATGTACGATCAGAATAAAAGAATGTTGTTGCCGTGAATTTAGAAAATAGCAAAATTTCAATTTACGCAATCGAGATATAACTTGATCGTTTGAGCGATAACCATGGCACCCATAGTATTAATGAAAGTACTCATACTTACAATTATTTTCTCCCATAGGAATATTGTTCAATATACTTCACCTATAGAGAAAATCTCGAAATAAAATCGAATTTTTTCAAAAATTACAAAAATCAATTTTTTACAAAGATGTTCGAAAAATAACATTATATACGCATCAAATCAAAGCATTATATGGAGCATTATAATTCTATATATGATTGTCCATCTTGCTGTTGTGCTATTTTTTTTAAACAATAATTTCATTGTTGAAATTAAATTTGCAATTTCAGTAAAAATTGCGACCCATCATTTTGAATATAATTGAATTAATACATTTATTGTAAGAATATTATATACCAAATATTAGACTTCCACATGAATCCTGGTATGATATTATAAGTATTGCAAAATTAGAAAAAAATATGCTCATGATATACTAAAATTCATGTTTCAAGGTTAACTTATAAATAAAATAAGTTCTAGAAATGCATCACTAAATATTTGAGCTTGTGCACTATAATGCTATATAATAGTCTTCACTGTTTTTAATATATTGACTTTGCTAGACTTGATTTTTTTCATCACCCTAATGAGTGCCCATCCTTAAGGGTGGTTTTGGAAGGACAGCACTACATAAAGCTGCAGAAAAGAATTGCAATGAAATTGCTGAAATTCTCATCGCAAACGGTGCAATTATTAATGATAGAGATAAAGAAAATCAAACGCCTCTAATGATTGCAGCACATTTCAATAGCAAAGAAACAATTGAAGTTCTTATTAAAAATGGTGCATATGTGGACAAATCAATTATTAATTATGTCTCAAAAGATTTTAACAAAGAAGTAATAGAATATCTAATTTTAAACGGAGCTGATATCAATTCAAAAGATAAAGATGGTGAAACTTTATTACATCTTGCAGCTCTTCAAAATCAAAAAGAAATAGTTGAATTACTTGTCTCATATGGTGCAGATGTCAATGCAAAGGATAATAAAGGTAGGACTGCACTTCAATTTGCATATGGATTTTATAGTGAAGAAATAAGCAAATTGCTAAGTACTCAAGAAGATACAAATTAATGACTGATGATCCAATATAAAATATCATTGAAATTTAGCACATAAAAATTATTATCAATTAATTTATTTTTTATTATAAAATTCAGATAAGGATATTAAACTCTGAAATGGATTAGAAGAGTTGCAAAACATTTATGCAATTATGACTGCAATAGGGATACAGTTACATCGTAATTTGTCAATAAAATAAAATCGCGCTGTATATTTTGATCTTTTTGTTCATGACTACAAATCTTGAATATAGACGGTTATTTTTTCTGATGACTTTAGAATGATATTGAGGTTTAAAAAGGTATAACCTTAAAATATTCGGTTTTGCAATACAAATATTTGAAAAGCTTACAATTATGATCTGATTTTATTCGATCTCATATTTTGATGCTTGGCAATATTTTTATCAATCAGGTGATCGACCATATCATATCACATGCAGTAATTGTCAACCAAATGCAACAGAACAAAAATGTTTTGTTCTCCGTAGTTTCTTCTTTAATTTCAAAGATAGCGCTGTCAAATATTCGTCAGATAATATCAAAGTATTACACTCAGAATGTAACTTTAAGAATAATACAAGCACAAAGAGTGGTGGTAGTGTTCGTTTTGCATGCAACAGCTCTTTTGTTCAACACAAAATATGCTCTTTATTATCTCAAACATCAATAACTAATGATGATGGAGGCCATCACTCCCATTCATATTGTAAAGATACGAATAATTTTAATTTTGTCTATGATTCTTCGATTTGTCTTTGTGGCAATGAAAGAGCTCGAAAAACTCTATCTCTGTATTACGGAAATATTTCAATTCGATCCACAAATGTAAGTAAATGTACAGGTGATTACCATTCTGGTTATGGACTTTATCCATCATCCGAAGCATTAGTTTCACTTTGTACTATTGAAAATGCAACATGCAGATCTGATGTTTTAGGTCATAATAATTATAAAATCAATATTGTTTCTTTTTGCAACATATTGAATATCAAAGTGAGTGATAATATATGGGGAATAGTTAATTGTAATGGATATATAACAATTGAAAACTGCTCTATATTTGGAAACAAAGGCCCCCTTGGATTTAAACTTTTTTCCAAAAATAGTGATGGATCATTTTTAGTTAAAAATTGTTATGTCCAGAGCACAGGATCTATTCCAAGTGATATTATTACCGAAAATATCAAAGATATAGAAAATTATTTAAATTTATCTCATTTATCTACGTTTAAATGTGAAGCTCAACTTCCAATAGCTAATAATGATGAAAATGAAATAATAACAAAAGAAGAAGATGTCATATTTTATTATTGTTGTGCTTATCCAATCTTTGTAAAAAGTTAAATATATTAATTTTACAAAGCTATGATGGAATATGTTCAGTTGTTGCCCCAAAAGAGAATATATTGAATACATTTAAAATACATAAAGATAAGTTATATAAGCATGAATAAGTCTAACATGGTGAGGGCATTCTTAATAGTTCCAAAAATACTATAGTTTTGAACATAATGAAATCAAGGAATTTCCACTTGAAACTTGTGCGAAATCAAATTCTAATAACATATTCTGCATTAATGTTTTTGGCTTTATTGAAGATTTAATAAAAATTAAACACATATTCTGAAACAAATAAATTATGTAGCTGATTTTGGAATGATATAAAAACATGATTACTGGATGATGTATCAAATCATTAAACAATCACATGACATGCAAAGCTAAGTAAACATTATTGCAAACTATTAATACAAAAACATATCATAATTTTGCTGTAAGAGGTGTTACTTGCATTTAAGAGCTGAGGCATTGAATGCTATCATATTTCTTTAGACGTTCTTAAAAATAGATATCTATTAATATAGTTCTATGGGAGTCGTAATCAAGCCTTATCAAACGTGAATATAGTTAAATACAACAGTTTCATTATCTAAAAAGCTTAACAGAACTCATATAAAGTCAGCACATTTACTTTGAATGAAAACAAATCTGTCAAAACAAAAACAGGAAAAAAAGAATTTATACAATTTTGCTTGGGAAACTATTGAGTGCTTTCTTCCATTTATATTTCATTCATTTATAATTTATGGATTCAGACCGATTAGCACATCTTAAACATTTCATTTATGAGCAAGAAACGCCCTTTCAAACATAAATCTTTGATAATTTAGATCAAATATTAAAATAATAAATATGGCTGTGTAGAATAACTATAACTTCAAATTATATGGTATTAGTTTGGTTATAAAGATTTTTAGATGGACAAACAATGCTTTCTAAACTATATAAGAAAACTATTGTGTAAAAAATGGATAATCTTGTCGAATAAATATAACTTCAAAACAAATTGTATTAGTTTGGTTACAAAGACTTTTAGATGGACATATTAAAGCTTTCTAAACTATATAAGAGAACCATTATGTAAAAAGTGGATAATCTTGTAGAATAACTTCAAATCAAATGAATGATACGAAATTATTAGCTTTGTTACTAATACAAAAGCTTTCTGAACTATATTAGAGAACTATTATGTAAAAAATGGATTATTTGAATATAAATAATTCGTAAATTTTTTTTACTTGAAAAAAATGCAACAGTTTAATGTATCTTCTTGATTACTGGCTTATCGCCTTCTTCTGTCTCTGGAGTTGTAGGAGCAGCAGATGCATCAGCAGGAGGAGCGCTTGAACCAATTGATTGTGGTTCTGGCTGAGAGTAAGGAACTGCCTGAGGTACAGAGAGAACGGCGATGTTCTGTGTAGCGAGGTATCTTGTAGCATCGACTTCGTTTGCGACAACTTTGTTGTTCATGAGGAAGTTCTCCTCTCCCCACTTTGTCTTGAGTGGTTCGAGTGTAGCAATGAGGCCCTTGATGCAGTTGTTTGGACGTAAGTTCTTTGGCTCGATCTTTTCGACCTTCTTGAGGTGATTAATTGCAAGATTAAGAAGACCAACAGCCATGCCGTCTTCGTCGTTCTTCTTGGAGTCGTAAGCGAACATGACGCATGTAAATGCCTGGCTGATCTCTAAAATCTGCTCAAGCCAGTGAATGAACTGTGGTTCGATTGATTCAATCGGAGTTGCTCCTTTGATAGCGTCGTTGGCTGTCTGGAATGATGTATGAGCAGCGTAGCAGATCTTGCCGATCGCCTTCTTGCCGGCACCGTTGAATTCGGCCTTGGATGCGATGATGAGGTAAGCCTGTCCAAGCATGAGGTTCATGAGGGCATTGAAGACAGCTGGTTGGAACTCAATTGGAGCGGACTGCTTATCAATGCAGCGGCATTTGTCTGAGGCAAGATATTCGAAAATGCCAGCAGCTGTTCTGAGATTGATAACAGCTTGCTCGTGGCGGTTGGCCTCGTAGTCGTCGAATGCTTGATCCATGTAGAGAATACCTTTGAGCCAGATAAGGTGAAGTGTTTCGTTCATGCAGTAGTTTGCGGAGAATGTACGCTCAACATACTTTTCTACAACGATTGGTGTCTGAACCCAATGGAATTTATGTTTTGGTGATGCTTCAATGCGTGGATTACCTAATTTTTCTTTTTCGATGGAAACAAACATTGGGAGATACTTGTCAATATCAGCAATCCTTGTCATGCATGGTTGCCTCATTTTAAGATGCTCGCAAAGCAAGTCACGGTAAACTTGTGCTTGATTGAGATAATCTAACTTTTCCATTGGCCATTTAGGAAAGATAGCCTCAAGCTTCTCTTGATTAAACTTAGAAGGAGTAAGTGTAAAGAGAGGAACTTTTTCCAAGTAAAGAGTTTCAGATGACATCTTTAAATGAATAAAAAAAGTGACTATGTCACCGGAATTTTACTATCACAATAGTTGGATCCACTATGAAATCAGGAAGAATCGATACTTTATCAATCAAGTGTAATAATTTATGTGAAAAATTTTACAGATGAGATAAAATTTCTCCCGCGGTGAAATCAATCGCACTGAAACATCATCGAAAATAACCTTGAGTGACAAAATTTTATAAATATTAGGATCAGGAATCTGATATGTTTTGCAGATGTCTATAAAAGTCCCATAATTTTCTCAAATTTGATTGCGAATTTTAATTTCCAATTTAATGATTGTTTTAAAAAGATAATAAGTAGTTAACTATTTGGAAACAATAATGAAGAAAATGGAGCACTTGAGAATATGAATTAAGATTTGAAGCGTTTCCTTTCAGTCTATGTGTTTAAAAATTGGTACAAATAAAAATTTTAATGCTTTTCTAACTGTTGTGAGAATAAAAACCATATTGGAAAATATAAAAAGACAATAATTTAATATCCTGATATTGCTTACAGAATATGATGCTTGGTTAGATGGATCATGATCTGTTTTAAGATTTCCATAGAGTTTTATACGATCATAATCGAAAATATTGCTATTGGCATGATATGGCAAATAAAGTTGATGAAGAGTTTTGTATCGGAAGAAAATGAATTTGTACTTGTGAATCGAAAGAAAATACAAATAGAATACTTTATATACAAAAAAAAAAATAATAAATAATGTAAGTTGTTGTGCACTGTAGTGATTAATCATTTGATTACAAACAATAGAACAATTCCTATTATTTCTAAGAAGATCAACGCATAGGCAAAATATCCTGCTTTAGAAGGGCCGAGTTTTTCTACCTTTTTTGTGACATCTACAATGCCTTGATCTGCAATATCCATTTTGGCATTTGTAGCATCAATCATCTGATTTTGATCAACAATTTCTTCATTAATTGCGTTTGCATTGTTAAGCATTTGTCCTGTCATACCTTCTAAGATGTCCAAATTCTTATCTGCTTCGGATAATTTTTCTCTGTTTCCTTCTAACGTTGCCATCACTAAAAAAAATACTTGTGAACGATATCGAAATTTTTGAAATCGGGATTTCGTAGAATTACACATGTGAAATTACCTCAGTAATTAGAAATCAGAGTGTTCTTGGTTTATTTGGCATACTCAGACCTTATATGTGCAATGATATTAAGTTAACTATGATTCTAAATGCATTCATAGAGTCCTCTTTTTGTTTAAGAAAATAAACTAGATGTTTTATGCTTGAAATTGTGATTTGATTTCATGTGCGAAATATTAACTTTAAAATCTATGTTCAAAATAATTTTAAAAAATAATGTTGTTATGTAATTGTATTGATAACTAAATATAATTTATCTTTTAAGATAATTAATAGCCACTACTTGTCAGCTGTCTTTTAATGGATCGAATTAAATTTTCAATATGATCATGTACTTTGATATCAATATTTCAAGAGGAAGAATGGTTTTAAAGATATGACATATAATTGATTACGATATGATGCTATAAAGAAAATTTTTACAAAATTGATATTAAAAGAAGTGCATAAATATATATACAAACAAAAAAAGGTATTGAATGGCGTACAAGCCGACAAATATAGTGGGAAAAAAGAAATATTCGTTTTGTCGGTGAATGAGAAAATATTCATTCAATGATAGCTTCCTGGAGCAGGTTGTGGTGGTAGATCAACTTGTTGTTGCTTATAAGACCATTTTGGATGTATGGGAAGAAATGCAATGTTAGGCAAAATCTTTTCTGGATCTAAACTTGGTAATTTTGATGGCTTATCAGTAGGTGGGAGTGGCAATTGTGCTTGTAGTACAGGTTCTTTAGGTAGTTCTTGTGATATTGGTGGTTGTTGGTTTTTATTCATTAATTTTTTGGCGCGTCTTGTGAGGACGAGCCATCTATTCTTGAGCATTGTATCAGTTCGACTTTTGAAGAATTTACTGATCTTAACCCATTTTGCACCAATTTCTTTGAACTTTTGTTCAAGTAAAAGATCTTCTGCGGCCGTCCATGGATGATTTGAAACATCAGGTGAGAGATAGTTAACCCACCTTTCTCTGCATTGTCTGGCATTTCTATTCGGCATCAAGCGGGCTATGTTTTCCCAATTATTTGTTCCATTTTCGTTTATGAGTTTTATTAACATATTATCCTCTTGCTGTGAGAATTTCTTGCGTGGGTGTGGTCGATGAGGACTCGATTTGGCAGACGATCCTGAATTTGAATTTGGATCTGGCACAATGCTCATTATTCTATTTTGAAAATCCGATCAAAATCGATCGGAGAAAAGTGACATATTGTGAGAAACCGAAAATGATCGAAACAGTTTCAAATAAAATGGTTTTCTTTGATAACAAAAAACTAATTAAAATTATATTCATTTGATCCATTCGCCAATTTAATAATATTGATACGATTAAACGATCAATTTCCCTTTGAAAATAAAAAGAAGATCTCATTGGATATCTTATAGCAAAGAATAATATTAGCAAAAGGTTATTTTTTATTTTCAATATTTTAATTCATTAGTTTTGAAGAATCAAGAATGGGGAACATGATTAGATAATAGATTGGCTGTAATGCTAAATAACTAAATAATTAGTGTACCTTAAAATGGATGATGAAATGCAGAAGGAGATCGGATCGATCATAAAGAATGAACATGCTAAAAAAGTAAGACTGTTCAAAATAAATAGCGCCATGAATGCACTTGTTTACATTGATGTACAAAGGTTATTGAATAGAATCCAATAGATTGATTTAGATATCGATTCCCTTCAATCAATGAATTGTTCTTCCTAATATTGTTTATTTCTTTAATGTATAATCCGACATCGTTCATCGGTTAGGATAAGCGGTTCTCATCCGCTGGAGCTGGGTTCGACTCCCCGTGTCGGAAAACTTTTTTCCTATTTCCTTAGATCAGTCTAAACACCCAAATAGTTAAAAAACATCAGACCTTCATTTAAACAATTTATTTTCTATCATTTCACTCACTTATTGTTTATAAATATTAGATTTTAAGAAATTTTGGTTTTGATCCTTGAAAATATAAGTCATAAAGTTAATATATGAATTAGTCTGAGAGAGGTAATAAATTTGATTATAATAGTGCATTAGTCTGAGAGAAATAATAAAAACATTTAAAAAATAATTTTAAATTGCAAGTTTTCAGTAAAAAGGATTACTTTCAAACTTCGCAAGCTTCTCTTGAAGTATGTTCTTGACTTGATTGATCTCGTCAGGGTTCAGAGGACGCCATCTTGGATCGATGTGGTGATGTTCGGGTATTTTGGTGCCAAAAATCTTAACATATTTCCTTTCATGCTCAATTTCCCATGCTTCAACGGAACCTCGTGCATGTGAATCAGTAACAACAATATGAAATAGACCACCGTCTTCTTTCCGGAAAGCAACTTGAGTGCCATCTAATGTGCTAGTGCGGACTTTGCTCGTGGCTTCACCAACAAAGTTGATTTTGTAGTAGACGGTGTTACTTCGTGATGAAAACTTCATCTTGTTGCTGATGGCTTGAGCATCAATGTTTGGATATGTTGATTGCAGTGACAATATGAAGTCTGGATTATTTGTGTAATACTCTTTAATATCTGTATTTCCTGAAGCTTCAAGAACTTTCATTGGAGATTTTTCAACCCACCTTTCAACTCTTACGATTCCATTGGTCTCAATTCGATCATGTCGATGATTGTGTCTGGAATAAGCTGCAGCCACGCTGATCAATGTGAACATTTTTTATACCAGAAAGTTAAATTTTTTTATCAAATATGTCAAATGACACTATTTATTGAATTTGACATGAATTGATTTTCAAAATTTTATGGATAAAAATAATGGTATTGGTAGATAGCTAAATTCTATCCGAATGACAAAAAATTGACATGGCAGAAACGGCTTGAATTTTTTGAAAATTCAAAATTTATTTTAGTTTCAATGTTTCTTCTCTCTTTGTTAAGCCTAGGAGAATCTAGAATGTATGCACGTCGTCATCATAGAAGAGAGCATATTCCAGAGGCCAATTTCAAATTTAAACCAAAGTGCTGGGAAGAACGCACTCCATATACAGAACCATTAAGAATTGATCGTGTTGATGGCAATAAGGAAACACGTACTGTTTACACACCAGATCTCAACTCACTTAACGGACTTATTGCAGCCAAGTACCCACTCATCGATCTTAATCAATTAAAAGCTTCAAATTGCGCTGAAAATTCACACCAAGATATAGTCGGAAAGCGCATGAATCTCCGAATTCAGGCTGCGGTTGCAACAAAAGAAGGTAACCAATATAAAGTTGTTTTCCAAAGTGGAGAAGGATTTGCCGATTTTGCAGCCCAAATTAAGACAGTTCTTCATAAGAGGTGTTGGTGATATACAACACATATTCGTGATGAATTTTCAGACAGAGGTTTAACTCAAGATGAAATTAACACTCACAATGCTGCCATAAGAAACAAAATTGGTATCAATATTTAAAGTAAATGTTTAACATTATTTTATTATAAATCAATGAATTATATGATAATGTCGAATGCTATTTTTCGAAAAATAAAAATCTATTTTCTGGTTTTATTTGTCTCACGTATCCCATTTTAATGTTTAATATTCATTACGTCAAAGTTCATTCATCCAAACATTATGTCTATAAGAGGGAAACCTGTATTGAAAGTGATTTTATTTGAACATGCTTAAGAAAAGGATATGAGAGCATTGGATAGTGCATATTGGAGTGAATAATGACAATAAAGCATACATTGGAGCAATGTAGAATTTTATAATTTATCGATTCACAAAAAACTAACATTCATGTATGTCATCCTCATGGAAGGCATAATCCCTTACTTTCAGAAGCAAATGAATAGGCAGGTTGCACTAATTGCAAGACAAAAAAAATAGTTGTGATACTTTTTTCGGGCTTAAATATATAAGCAACTATTAAAATATATAAGCAACTATTAAAATATATTTATTCACTTTTTAATTGTCGTTCCTCCTTTCGAAAAATGACTCATATATTTTGAAAAAAATTAGAGAACGATGAAAAAGAAGTAGGATCACTATACACAATAGATTTTAACTTGTGAAGAGATATATTGCAACCAGATATCCATAAATCGATTAAAAAAATTGGGATATCCCAATTGATAGCTTCTTTCCATATTGTTACATATGGAAGTAAACTAGTGTGTTCGTTATAAACATCATATTTTCGGGAATTTTTAGATTTTACACAAAAAATACTAAAATAGTAAAAATCAGGTTTTACTTTTAAAGTTATGTGTAAAATGGATTGCTTTCAAATGTTCCAAGTTGTTGTTGGAGTATGTTTTTGACTTGATTGATCTCATCGGGGTTCAAAGGACGCCATCTCTCATTAGATCTATAGTGAAATGTTCTCCTAAAGGGGCCGGCTCTGTAGTACTTCTTTTCAACATCATATGCATATGCTTCAACAGAGCCTTGTGCATGTGAATCGGTAACAACAATATGAAATAGACCACCGTCTTCTTTCCGGAAAGCAACTTGAGTGCCATCTAGTGTGCTAGTGCGGACTTTGCTCGTGGCTTCACCAACAAAGTTGATTTTGTAGTAGACGGTGTTACTTCGTGATGAAAACTTCATCTTGTTGCTGATAGCTTGAGCATCAATGTTTGGATATGTTGATTGCAGTGACAATATGAAGTTTGGATTATTTGTGTAATACTCTTTAATATCTGTTTTTCCTGAAGCTTAGTTAGTATACAAGTCTCGTGTACTGAGGCACTGCGTTCCTCCGTACGCAATACTTGTGAATTTGACACTTTACAAAACCGTTAACGTATATTTTACAACACAAACGACAACACTAACTTAACCTTAAATATTTATAAAGCCGCCAACCACTTCACCTTACTACTGTAAAAATAAACGTTCTCACTTACAAAAGTATTGCAGCGCTTCCCATTGCTGTGCTTCACACAATAGTTCATATTCTTCAGTATCGCTGCTGTCGCTCCAATCGTCAGAGTCAAAGTCACTGTCAAAATAAATGTTAGTAAGTTTTGACAAAGCTAATGAAACACGTTTACCGTTTGTATCGTATGCTTGTATAAACTTTCCATTCTTCATTCCTTCATAAACGCTCAAACTAACTTTACCCTTTCTCCCTCGTATCTGATAGAATGTATTTTCACGAGGAACGAAGAACAAATTCTTGAACTCATGACCGTTGTAGTTTGTTATCTCAATAGTTTTCGTCATTTACATCCAAATAAAATAAAAAATAAAATAAAAAATAAACTTAAAATTAATGATATCACCACCCTCACACGTATGAAAACATAGCGCAAAAATAAATTTAGGTGAAGTGGTGAAATCTCACCTCTTTTTTCACCTCTTTTTTCACCTCATGAATTCATTACTTTATAACTCTCTTCCTTTCTCCAACTCTTCTAACTTCTTCCTAAGTTCAGCAATGTTGTCCTCATGAAGTTTAATCTTCCTTAATATACCTTCTCTATCTAATGGTTGCTTTATCTTTCTAAACTGAACTCTACCATCCTTCATAGTATGAACGTAAAAACCTTCTGGAACCGCTCCTGATTTAATGTATTCTACCAAAAATTTTTGTTTCATTGCTTCAGTGACTTTAGTCGTCATTTTACTCTAAATAAAATGTTCAAATAAAATAAAACTAACATTATTTTTTCAGTAAGGAAACGCAGGAGTTTTACGATTTATTTGAGGCGTAGGTTCTGGTTTAAATGTTGGAGTCGGTTTAGGAGTTGACTTTTGAACAGGAGTTTGTACTTCCATAGGTTCAGGAGTCATTGAAGGTTTTGCTTGTGAAGGCGTTGGTTTTGGCGATGGTGTCGGAGTTTGTTCAAATTCAGCTACTTCAGTATTATTTATAACATTTGCTTTATTTCTTTTCAACATCATTACTGCTCCTGCTGTAGCTAGCAAACCTAGTGGGAGACCATATCTTATATAAGGACTTGACCAAATGCTATTTTTGACAGGAGCTGGTGGAACACCTAACCTTGGTGAGACTGCTCTTTGCCATTGTGCAGCTCGTAAGAAATATTCAATAGGTGCTCCATAATCGTTTGGTAAAGTTTGTTTCATAGATGGTGAAGGTTCACGAGAGCTTGATGAAGAACTCATTTATAAGCTTTAAAAATAAACGTTCATCCTTTATTCCTCACTGTCGTCCGTGCTAAGTTATAGTCATCAATCTTATTATTGGTATGCCTGACTGTCACTGATGCAAAGCAACAATCCCTCATAAATCCAATAAGTGGCTTTGGTACATTTTCAGTTGCTAGTTCAATAGGTCCTTTAACAGACAATTTGTATGTTATTGGAGCAGTAGATGTTTGACCTTGCTGGAAGCAAAAGTCCACTTCTGTTGGAAAACCACATAAGAAATGTGTGTTGTCATAGCTATCCCATTTATGTTCCACACTACCATCATCCACCAATGACCTCATAACATCTTCATTAAATCCTATCATATCATTGTTTGTATTGCAAGCGTTCGCAACCATTTCATAAAATACAGGTCCATATGATTTTTCAGGTTCTGCAGGCATATTTCCATAAGCTCCCATGGAAAGCTGAAGATATTTAAACTTAGGGTTCTCAAAATTAACATAATAGTTGTCTTTCTTTCTAAATAGTGCCCAAATACTTTTAACATTAATAGGCGTATAAGCTGCTGTAAATGTTGCACTTGAACTATCTGTATTCTTTGAGAATGAACCGTCCATAGGAATCCAATCCATAACTTTAACAGGAAAACATAAAGCCTCGTTTGTATAATGTTCTACAAGTTCTGTATAAATGTTAGGGTCTAAAGAGAATGACTTTGGATGAATGAAACATTCATTAAAATCCATCTTTGTTCGAAATAGTTGCTGGTTTACAGTTGTAATAGTAACTGTTCCACTAGCTTCTACTGCCTTCGTTATCATAGTGAATGGTTCATTCCATGGAACAAATTTATTTGTCGGTGGATTTGAATCTGAAGCAAATGCAACTTTAAGAGTTGGATTGAAAGCAATGATATCATTTACAGATATAGATGTGCATTGTAAGGCGTCGCTACTGAACTTTACTTTAAGCTGAATGTTTCCTGCAAAAGCTGGAATAAATCGAATAGCTTCTAATGGAAGGAATCTTCTAACAGGAATTCTTAAACGAAGCTTAAAATCAAATGATTTTCCTGCTGTAATTGGACCACTAACAATTTGTCCTGTTCTGCATGTTCCCGAATGACTCCATACATCTTCATGTCGAGTCTTTGAGAAAACATCTACTTTCTTTATTTGTTCGGTAGTTTGTGAGTTTGAAGTTATATATGCTTCTTCTCTTGCGTTGTCTTGAGAATATACGATACGACCATTTGCAAGGATTTGATATCCAGCAACTGCATAGAAAGCGTCATCGAAACCAATCCAAAATCCTGGTGGGTTTGTTTTATTGGAACCTGAACCAATTTCTTTATCTACAATAAATTGACCTTCCATTTTATACGTAATGAATGTATTGTAAAGGTCCAACATATTTTCACCAGGAGGTGAGAGATTGAATGTTACCCATGTGTTATCTTTAGCAGTTCCAGGTTGTGATGGAATCTTTGCGTCAGAATATTTTCTATTAGTGTCACCAATTTGAACTGCATTGTCTATGATATCGAAATATGAGCGAATCTGATGAATATGCTCTGCTGGAGTAAATTCGTTTAACTGTTCGTTCTGCATGTATTTACTTCAGATAAAAATATCTATTTACTTCATTATTCTCACTCTTCTTCTTGGTATTCGTGGTGGAAGTTGTTTCTTGACATTTTCAATGAACTGTACATTCTCTTTTGTCTCAACTTCTTTCACTGGCGGGTCAGGGTTCTTTGACTCGGTTTGTTTTTCAATGAAATTCACGAACTTTGCAATAAGCTCTTGGTTCGTTATTGAAAGTACATCTGGCTTCTTTTCTTCTTGTTCTTTTGGTGGCTCAGTTTGAACAGAAGGTTTTATATGGGCTTCGTGGACTTCACCCTTGCCATACACCTTAATGTTGTCGCTTTCTGCATTCGCTAATGGTACCTTTCTTTTTCTTACGTATATTTTACCATCTTTACTCTGACTTACGTAATAGAAAGGATGTTGTATTCCTCTGGCGTCATTTAATATAATAGACTCTCGTTCTGATTTTGACAAGCTCATTTTACATCGGTTAAAGTTTTAATTTAGTTTTTTATCTGCAGTCAAATGACTCAGTCAAGTCATATGGACAAGACCCAAGGGGTCATAGATGTTGAAGCATTGAAGAAAGAAATTCGCGAGCAAATTTTATCCGAACTGAAGGAACAAAAACAAGAACAAAAGCCAGAGAGACCAAAGAGAAAACTTAGTGAAAAACAACTAGCTGCATTAGCTGCTGGAAGACAGAAGAACCCACGTTTGCTGGCGAAAAAAGCTAGAGAAGAAGCAAAAGCAAAGGAAGAACAAAAAGCAAAGGAAGCTGAAGCAAAGAAAGAGTAAATGGTTTATTTTTATCCAAACTAAATGTATAGACAAATACCTTTATCTGTTGCGTTCAGTAGTGAAAACCCTGACGTCAAAATAAAGGGGAACAGAGTAACGTTTAAGTTTCCAACAGACTGGATTGTGAACATAAATGAAGAGAAGTACATTGGCATAACATCTATGTATATAACACGTGCTTTCAGAAAGGTTGACTTTATACTTCAAGTCGAGATAGAAAATGACGAACAGTCTTTAAGCGCCCAAAACATTCACATATACAAATACTTTAAAGACGATACAACATTGTTGCAATGTATGATTTCATTTAATGAGATGTTCGAGAAAAAGTTCAACATTGAAGTACAAACTTTACAGCCTTTACGTGAGTTTCTTGCACAACTGAAGGAAGAAGGTAGTCAGCCACAACTTATAGACTTTCATTATGAATTTAATGAAAATGAAGATGGAACACATGACTGTCAATTCATTGTATTCTCACCATTCAATGAAGTCGCTAAAAAGAAAGAAAATCCATTACGTATAAGATTTCAAATCTCCGAACCAAGTGATGATTTTAAGAATGTTTTCAATTATGATGCAATGCTTCCGAGGAAAAATGAATTTTCAAAGATTGTAACACCTGGCATTTGGGATAGAAAGCAAGCAATACTTTACTCTAATATAGCCAAAGGCGTTGAAAATGAGTTCATTGGTCATACAAGAACTTCACCACTTCCTAACCCTAAATACTATAAATTAACTGGCTTCAATCGTGAGTTTTGGATAGACATGTTCTCCACTCATGACCATAAATGTCCAGTGTTCTTGCCTCCAGACCAAGGACTGTCTCTACATTGAAGCACAACTCTTAAACTCTACCATCGCAGTATTGTAAAATCTACGCTAGCTTTATTTTTATCACGAATGACCTCATTCATGACCTCATTCATGACCTCATTGCTGACAAAAATAAGCCGCTAGCGGCAAGGGCGAAGCCCATGACCTCAGAACTTCAACTTACGAATAAAGCTTGTTTTAGTCGTTATTGAAAAGTTGAACTTTTCAGCAAAGCAAGGTTGACATGACTTACATAAGTCGAATGCAATCTCTTGACCATCATAAAGTGCTTTGTAAAGTTTCATTAAACTGAACTCAGAGTCTTTGTCATATGTTCCAACAGGTATGTGAATGTTCTTATCTTCATTGTAATAGCATTGTATAGCTTCAGGAAACATTTCATTAGCGGTTAAAGCAATAACATCTTGCTTCACGCCTTTCATTCTGCAGTGAAATGCAACTTCATTTAAATCATTCGTGAGTAAGTCTATGTAGGTCTTCTTTCCACAGAAAATACTTTTATAAGCTAAACTTTGTTTTCCAGGTGTTATTTCTGCAAAGTCGCTATGAAATTGACCAAGGTTCTTTCCTATAAGTTCGCGACCATATCTCTTCTTAAACTCTGCTGCAAGCTTTGGTATGTCTTCATTATATAAGTGCATACTGTCGGTATCCTGGTAAAAGATTTGAAGACCCATATCTTCAGCAGTACAGAATACTTCATTCATAATACGTTTTGACATAGACAGAATATTAACACCAAGTGGACAGAAGTTAAAGTGTCTGCAAATGCTTTTCGTTAGCTTGAAAATAGTTTTATCTGAACCATCCAAACCTTCGAACTTCACTATATGGTTGTAATTTCTTATAGCATATCTTATAGCATCTTTGTCATTTACTATGGTTATTTTTGACTCAATAGGAGATAGAATAGTTTTGCCATAAATGCTGTTCAGAATGAGTTTTATAATTTCTTGTAAGGGGTTTCCTTCTTTCTTATACTTTAACCTTAACTCAAACAACTTCTTTACTTCATCTCTTATTCTCATATCTCTGTTTCCATCGTAATAGTATCCTTGCAACACTTCACATTTGACACATTGATATTTTATGAGGTCTTGTAATGTTATATGGTCAACATACATGAGACAGCAAGTGTTTGAACTTCTTGGAACGTTAAGTTCTGGATTTAGTTCAGGGTCGCAAACTATTAAATGAAAGTGTCTGGGTATACCAATCTCTGTTATCTTAATGAGAACAAAGAAGCCAGACATAAACTTTTCACCAATGGGTTCCTTTTGGTCATCATCGAATAAATGTCTCATGAGATACTCTGTGCTTAACATTTCTTCCTTCAATACTTTTGGAATACCTTCTAAAGTATAAAGTCTTGCTATAGCTGAAGGATATAATGAAACAGTGTCGAAGTCAGCAATGAGTTTCTTTTTGCTCTTTTGTTTCATGTTATCTGACAACATACATCTTCCACCTTGAATGCATCTCGAAATAAATTCTCTTGGTTTATTTGAGAGGTCATAAAGATTTCCATTCGGGAAGTATACTCTGTTCTCAAACAATTTGTTAGCAATAGAACAAATACTAACGTAGTCATAAACGTTTAAATCAAACTCTTTCAATAAGTCATTGCGGAACTTTACAAAACCTTCTCTTAAAATTCTTACATCTTGTTTGCAGTAAAACGTGCTATATTTTTCTAAGTCGAAGTGGTTTTCATCTATTCTGCAACCTTTGATGGAATCTATGTTTTTCATGAATGTATCTGCATCATGGATAAACTTACATGCTTCAGAAATGACACCAGTTCTGTTGTCATTTGCTAACAAAACACTGCTGTAGTAGTTATATGGAAATACTTCTTTCGGTCCTGTTTGTAAGTTAAACATAGCAGGAAATAGTTTAAGCTTCTTATTTATAACACTGTAAGAGTCTTTTATAATAATTGCCCGTCCTTTATATAAACCAGTTATTTGCATTGTTCGTGAACCTTTAATGATGGGAGTTCCTTTCACTTCTGTCATGTGTCTTAAGATGAAGTTTATGTCATAACTGAGGTTGTGGAAATATATTAAACTCTTGTCAGGAAGTCTTTCCAAAAATTCTGTTGCACAGTTTTGACCCCAAATGCTTTCACTCACTGAACCATCTTCACTGTCATAACAGATGTTAAAAGCTTTATGAAAGCCGTCTGTGCTACACTCAAAGTCAGCAAAGAAAACGTGCTCAGGAATGAATTTACATTTAGCTTTATTTACTTCTTTTGACTCTGCTTTCTTCTTCAGTTGTACACAATACTTTGGAGCATATGTCAAATCTTTAAATGGTGCAAGGTTCTGTTTATATAAGTCAGTAGTATATGTGAAAAGTTCTCCATAAGAAATAGGTTCGAAATATTTGCACTCCCACAATGTTTTCATAACATCCCATAGCGGTGTTGTTCTATCATAACGAACTACATATTTATCTTCTCTCTTTGTATAAATCTTCATCTGTTTCTCAATGTTCATTCCACCACAAGCTTTGAGAATTTCTATATAGTTTCGAATGAAGTATGTTGTCATTGGTAATCTTTCATTTAGCATGTAGTGGTCTTCAACAAGAAGTAAGTCAATAGTTCTAACAGTTTCATTCTTTTGGTATGTATCTCTTTATTTCATTATGTCTTGAGTCATTGAAATAACCAATGGTAACATTAAATGCTATACCTGTTGAATCGGAAATTTCTTGTACTTTACTTTGAGGAAAGTCTCTAACACGAATGACTTCTCTCATGTGGTCAATAGTTTCTTCATTTACTCCAGCCTGAATGCAAGCATAAACGAAACAATTGTCCTCTGTCATAAGTGTTGCAGTTCTTTTGTTCAGTTCATTGAAGATTTGGTAGCGTTCAAGATTTATAGGTAATGTGCAAAGATACTTCCAGAACTGACCGCTTCTCTTCTTATAAAACTTCTTTTCACCATTATCTTTCCAAAAGCTTTCTATAAGTGCTGGGTTTCCTGTTTGCTTAAGAGCTTCCAAAATGGCTTTCTGGTCATTTGTCAGTGTGCTTTCATCTCTATATGGTCTCTTTTTTGGTTTGCCTTTCTTTACATCTGACATCGTTAAGCCTTCATATTCTGTTAAATCATACATCTTTATTTCGGTAAGATTCTTTATGTTTGTCAAGAAGAAGTCATAGTGCATTTCAACAATACCTGCAGCATTTGCTTCTATCTCTGATATAAAGTTCTCCTTCAAGAGCTGATGTAGTAATGTTCCAATATTATTGAGGTTTAACGTAGAACATTCATACTTTCCACCAAGTTTATAACATACCATCCATCTCTGTTGCGAGTTTATTTTAATTTTCTCTAAGAGTCTCATGAAAACCTTACCGAAATGTTTGTGTAAGTAGTCTCTGTTTGGTTCATCTAAAGCTTCGATGTTAAAGTCAATGAGTCTATTGCCTGACTTCACATTTCTCTTCCTATTCTCTTCATCTTTCTTTAACCATCTCTCACCTTCTTTTGGTTTGTCGTCAATGGAACGAATGACATCGTTAGCTTTGCGAACTTGTTCTATAGCACTTTTAAACATCTCTCTTCTCTGTTGTTTCAGTGTGTCATCTCTCTTTCGTGTTTCACCAACGTTTGCATTTGTTATGTCAAACATCTCTCTTCTTACTTCATGAGGTACTGAACGTCTATGATATAAGTCAATAGCAATGTCATTTAAAGGAAATGCTCTTGCATGGACTTCGTCCTCGCCGCGTTGCGGCTTTATGAACTCATGAATTCTATCATAACTTATTGCACCATTATAGTCTTTAATGAAGTCAGCGAGTGCTTTTTTGTTTGTTGCGTAATGCTTTGCAACATCTATATTAGCTTCTGTAAGAAGTTGTTTTATTTCCGAGTGTTCTAACTTAGACAACTTCCGATACATCTTTAGTAGGAAATAAAAAAATATTTTTTGAAAAAATTAGATTAGATTTTTTTTAAGTTATTTTTCAAAATAATTTAATATTTTTATTTTAATGAAACACATGCAAGATTGCAAGTTCTTTTCATACAATGCTCTCGCTACTGCCATCAAGAATGAGTTCAATAATGCTTCAAACGTTAATGTTATCTTTAACAAGAAGTTTGTGAAAGAATCTAAGTTTGGTCAGTATGTCAGACCATTAGCTATTGTCATTGACCGCAAACGTTATACTTCACAAGAGTTAGCAGTAGTTTTGAAACAAAAGAGTTTCTTCGTGAATGTCAAAGATACTCATTATACTGTCATAAAGAACTCCAACATTGACTTCTTCAGTATTGCTTTAAATCTTTCCGAACAGAAAGAATATAAGAAGGGTGAAATAAATGTGAAATATTATCCTTCATCTCTGAAGACAATAACGAACAAAGATGTTATACAAAAGTTCTTACCAAAGGTTGAAGAAGCTTCAATTGACATTGACGAAGGAAGTGAAATGGTTGAAGAAATTGACCCTGAAGCTATTTAACCAAAAATATATTTTTGGTGAAGAGGTGAGATGTCACCCGTTTTTTCACCTCATTCTCTCTTCGTTAATGTTGTCGTGACTTCTTCGTTAATGTTGTCGTGACTTCATTCTTCCTCTTTGAAGTTATCGAAATATTCTGTTATTTTTTCCTTCAGTAATGTTAAGTCTTCTTTGAAGGTAAGTATTGTGCAACCTTTGATGTCATAGTGTGTTTGAGGAAGAGTATTTTTGACAATTTCTTTATTTGCTCATTCGGTGTCATTGAAATCGGTAAGTTTTCACGATAGAACCAGTTTCTGTCAGATTTATATATTTTAGCAAGGTCGTAAAAGCTTTTGTTGTTTCTTCTGACTAAATGCAACATAACCATATCTCTATCTTCTTCTTTCTCCAACTCTTCAGTATAAATCATATACTTATAACTCTTTTCCTTTCCTTTTGGTACTGAACGTGGTATTCTTTTCTGTATGCTTTTGTCTTTGGATTCAATGACTTCATCTTTTGCTTGAAGTTTCTTTTCCATCTCTCCACGTTCTGCTTTATATAGTTCATCTAACATCATGAAAATATAACAAGCATAACGAGGTGAAGCCCACATTGCTACAGCATTTACTAAAAGTCTATGAACATAATAACCTTTCAAACCAGGTGCCAAATTCTTGCGATTTTCGTACGGAATCTCTTCCCTCGGTTTTCCGAGGGAAGCAATCATATGAGGAAATTCTTCTAAAAGTTCTTTTGCCTGTTGGTTTTCAAACCAATGATATGCTTGCTTTGTAGAACGAAGAGCGTTCATTATACTTTGCATTTGATACATATCATCTTTGACTGAACGAATGAGTCTCAATTGTTTGTTATATTGTATGTATTCGTATTCTTCATTTATGGCTTCATGAACGATAGCAGTTGTTGTGTTCTCTAATGTTGACATTACTGTTCTTACATACAGGATAAAAATAAATAAAATAAAAACTAACTTTATTTTTTCTGAGATAAACACTATTTCTTCACAACATTAAATTTTATCCTGTATGAAATGACTTTAAAAAGATTATTGACTGACTTCGAATATCTCATTGACGCACTGACAGACCCTCAAAACTGTGTTGAAAGTTCTTTAAAGCTTTAAGATTGAAGGTACGACGCATTTTGTCTTCACTTACGTATTGAAAGAATATGACCGTTATCATAACGAAGTGAATCAAACACTAATAAAATTTGTAGATAAAAAAATTGGTTAACAATGAATATTTTAAACGTGAAGACCCAAACACTGCTGGAGATGATGAAGAATACAGACAAGTTATTGAAAAAAATAACGCAAGATTAGATGCAATAGAAAAGAAGTTTAATGAATGTCTTACAAACACGTATGAATATCTTATGCAGTGGGACCAGATGGAAATAAATTTACGTCAAATATGCAATTTATAAAATCTTATGTCGACAGGCTACGTAGCACAGTGGTCTAAGGTGGTGTTATGGAGGGGTCAAGGTCTGTGGTTCGAACCGCGACAGCGCCGTATTTTCTTATTTTCTTTATTTGTCTTGTTTGTCGTGAATAAAAAGTGTCATAAAAGTGCTCTATCTTCCACGGGAATAAATAAAAAATTTACTTTATTTTTCTTTATTCTTCTTTATTTCTTTGTTCCGTGGAAGAAGGGTTTTGCTGTTTTTTCTCAGCCGAAATCAATGATTTTTTCATTTTTGGAATCCTTAGCGAATGAGGAATCTTTTCTCTCGTGGAAGCTTTGACCTAAAATATAATTTAGGTGAAGAGTGAGAGATGTGAGATGTCACCTGTTTTCTCACTCTTTTTTCACCCTCGTGACTTTGTCATAACTTCTTCGTAAATGCTTTGTCATAACTTCTTCGTAAATGAGTGTAAATGACCAAAAATATATTATAGGTGAAGAGGTGAGATGTCACCTCTTTTTTCACCTAATTTCTCACCCTCAGCCGCTAAGCGGCGAGACCCAAAGGGTCTTGAATTTTCATGAATTTCCTTAAGATAGAAAAATAACGTTAGTTTTATTTTTATTTATTTTTTTATTTGTATGTAAAGATATGATTTCAACAATCGGCACAACAACAATTCAAGCCGCGAACGGCGGGACTCTGTCCACAACAACTTCACCAAACTCGTTAGTCATGAATCCAACATCTATGTTAGTAGAGATGAAAAGCTTCATTCCTTCTTCATATACTTTCGAAACAAAAATCCAGAAGATAAAGCAAGAACTTTTAACAAGTAATTTAGACTGTAGTGCGAAAGATGAAACAAATGAACAGTATCTTTATGAAATGCAGGACATTATTGACCATTTACCTAAACTACCTGAAATTCAGCATCAAAAACTAACTATTCCTGAATTCGATGAAATAGAAGTGAAACCAACTGACTCAGTAGAAATAAAGAAGTTCATTCGAAAGGTAAACTATGAGTTTCTAGGATTTCATTGCAACCATAAGGTTATGGACAAAGATTGCGACATGGTATATAAGAATGTTTCTGACATATATAAATCCGGGGAGTTTAAGACCTACGATAACTTTGTTTCGTTAGTTGCTGAATGTGTATGGCAGATAAGAGATAAAGATAGAAGAGGTAAAATATGGAACGAACAGATAAGACCAACTGCTTTTGAGTTAAAGAAAACCATTGACGCCTTAGTTGTTTTAGCAGGTAAGGTTTCAGAATATAACGCAAAAATGAATCCGCAATGTTCTAAATGTAAAGCAGCAATTAGGAAATATAACTACTCCGTCAAAGAGATAGAAAGAATGCGAAACGACTATGCAGACTTAAAGAAAGAAGCAGAAAAGCCAGCAGAAAAATAAAATGGACATGTTAGCATTTCTGAACAAAAACTATCCAACTGCTGACGATTTCCTTCTATCTGACGTCAAGAAGAAGTATAAAGAAACTTTCGGCATTGTTAAAACTTTTGACATACTGACAGAAGAAATAGAAGCTACGAAATTGTTTAGGATTTCAAAATATACATCGTACAATTCATGTAAAACGCTTGTGAAAAACTGGGGTGAGAAAACAGGTGAGAAAACGGGTGACATCTCACCTCTTCACCTATAATATATTTTTGGTGAATTCATAAAAATAAATGCGATAGAATGAGTTCATTTACTCACAATATTTTTGTACAAAACGACCCCAAACTTTTAACTTCTTTTCTGCAGCTTCAAATGCTATCTTAGCGAGTTCATATTCTCTAAATTCTCTCTTTAAATCTTCTTGTTCCCATTGGTCTAGTTCGTATGGAGAATCTCTATAACCATAATATATCTCACGTTCATGTTCTAATTGTTTTTCGCACATTTTTCCAACTTCTTCTTCGAACAAAGGTTTAGCATTCTCCACTGTATCTTCGAGTTCTTCTTCATCTAACTTCTCATGAACTTTCTTGTCTATGGAGTCCATAATATCTTTGACATAAAATGCATACTTTACAGAGCACCATTCAGCAACAAAATGAACGAGGTCAGGATGTATGTAAATACCTTTGAATTCATTCATAACGCCCTTAGTAAGCTCATAAAATGCTTGTTTTGAGGTTGAGCCACTTTTGGCTCGACCGTATTCTTTCAACCAAAACTCAAGAATTTCCTGCATTTTAGTACTATTGAGAAATCTGTTTAAATGGTTTAACCTTCCCGCTTCTCTTGCCATCTTTGTTGCATTAATGTAACCATCCTTGTCTCTACGTAAGACTTCAATACCGTTATAAGTGCCTTTTGTGAATGTTTCACCATTAGATTTGTTCGTGAATGTTTTTGCTTCGACTGACATTTCTGTTCTTACATACAAAATAAAAAAATAAATAAAAATAAAATTAGTTTTATTTTTATTTCGGGAAAATTCATGAAAGTTCAAGAGGTGAAAAAAGAGGTGAGAAAACAGGTGAAATCTCACCTAGCCGCTTTGCGGCTCTGACCCTTTGGGTCTCTTCACCTAAATTATATTTTTGTCTGATTTACATCCAACGAAAAAGTTTAGAAGAATTTTCTTATTCTTTCTGGCATGTTTTTATCTTTCCAGTACTCCCGCTCTAATGGTCCCAGATGAGTTGGTTTAGATTCTCTCAAGTTCTTAGATGGTATAACATCTTCAACGCCTCCTTCATATCTTACTTTATAAGTGTCATCGTTTGTGTTATAGTCAAGTATTTCAATAACCACTCCTCGCTTTGCTTCGTCAATGGTTTCAGCAAGTTTGCCATTACTACTTTCGACTAATTTATGTCGAGGGTAAAATGCTATGGAGTCGTCAGCAGCTTTTATAAGATATCCATTACCTTGCGTAGAGTCTACGATATAATAATTTCGACTTAACCTTAAACGTTTCTTTGTCAACGGTTTGTCGTCAAGAACTACACGAACTTTTGTACCAGGAATGAGGTAAATTGTGTTGAATTTCTGATATTTTGTGTTTGGCTTCGTTTCTTTTGTATATACTTTTCTTCTTGTTGTTGTGTCATTGAATTTGGTGTATGTCCTGTTGTAGAATGTGTTGAGGAATTATATACTTCGAGAAAATGTTTCATTGTTTCTTCGGTAAAGTCTCGCTCTTGGTTTAAATCTCTGAGAGTCCTTATGAAGCGGTTAATGATACCGAGTATGTTATGGTTATGGTCTTCAGTAGTGTAGTGAGTTATGTTATGCTTAATGAGAAATTCTGTGATTTCGTTGCTGAGGTATGCACCGTCTTGGTCTGATGTTAAAATACTTGGGCTATGTTCTGCTACAAACTTTTGTAAAACTCTTAACACTTCATGAGTTCCTTTATTTCTCATTATATACGCATATGCTTTACGAGTGTTAACATTTAATGAAGATGAGGAATGGTTTATGTCCTCCTTTTCTGCTTTGAATGAGAGTGTCAAATTGGTATGCGTCAGGAGTGTTGGAGTAAATTGGTAAAAAGTAGTCGTAAGGATTTATTTTTGTTTGATGTACAACATTTTTGTCAAAGAACCTTTTCACTTCAGCTCTGTTAGTAAATCCCGAACTCTTTGCAGCTTCATTGAACTTCTTAAATGACCTCCATGGATGTTGTTCGAATACTTCTTTCAAGCTCATTTTGTAAAGTTAAAGATTTTAACCAACTCGTATCCAAGCGTGCATTGTTATATAAGGAGGCATATAATCTTTTCATTACCTGCTGGGTCTGTAATACCAGCTACAACATGTGTATGATTTCCTGCAGTTCCAACAAAAAATACCTGTGCTAACATCTTTGGGGTCATCTGAGATATCATATCTATTCATTCCCTGTCTATCCGAACCCGCTGCAAGATTTGTATAACCTCTTTTTGTTATTGAATGTGAATGGTTTCCTTCCACAGATGTTCTTCCACTGAACCTATGCATATGTGAAGGAAGGTTTTCAATACCTATTTTCTTTGAACCTCCCATCTTCATTGACTGCGTATTAGTGTAGAATGGAAAACTGTCAACTATTTCATACCATCTACCACCAAATAAAGTGTTTGGATTTATTGGATTCATAGACGTATAAACAGCTCCTATAGGATATATTAAATCATATATGCTCATAACTCTATAAACATATTCTAAAGAACTTATGTCATTAAATACCATTTGGAATGTATCTCCCGGATGAAATGTTGCATTTGTTCCACTTTTATAATGTAATGTTAGTTCAATAGAATTATCCAAGAAAAATTCAAAAGTATCTGGTTGAAGACCTCTAACAAATTCAAATGGAGTTGATGGTTCACCATTTATAATTTCTGTTGTAAATGTCATTGTATCTGGTTTCGAAAATTTCTTTGTTAGTTCTGTATCCACATAAGTTTTGTCGGCTTTACTGTCTAACATTGCTGGTAGTTCATGTGTTTCAAAGTTTCTGACATGACCTTCGATATTCATACATTTGTTATTTAAGGAGTT